GGATTTAACAGGAAGCCAAAACAGGAGAAATCTGCTCTCTCTCCCTGTCAGTACTAGAAGGAGAGAGCAGATTTCTGAGCTACAGCCACCCCATAAGATACACCAATAATATTGTTGAGCCTGCCGGAAGCATTTCATGTTTCACAAACCAAGCCCATCTCATAAGAACATGACTCATGTGTGGGTCAGGACAGACTTTAGCTTTCATACAGATGAGAGGACAGACTCTCCTTTTTTCACTGAAGCACTGCTGCTGCCAGTTTCACAGCCACTTTTAGAAGTAGAGATAGTTTGAATGTGGAACAAGGCTTCAGCTCCAGCTCGGTTTTAAACATAATTAGGGAGAAACCAGAATAATGAGCACTCTCTCTGTATCTTACAGGTTTAAGGGAGCTGAAGCACCATGAGCCCAGCCAGGACCATGGCGATGTTCTGCACCTATAAGCTGATTTTCTTTCTGACCGTCATCTCAACTGAGTTTCCATATTCAGCAGCAGCGGGCTCTACTCTGACTCTCACCTCCAACCAGACAGCCACCAACCACAGCAAATGTGGTGGAAGCACCAACTGCATAGAGGGCGTTATCCTTCCTATGTGGAAGCCAGAAAACCCAGCCTTCACTGACCGCCTCGCCAGAGCAACCATATACTTCGTGGGGTTAGCGTACATGTTCTTAGGGGTCTCCATTATCGCCGATCGCTTCATGGCATCCATCGAAGTCATCACCTCCCAGGAGAGACGGATCACCATCAAGAAACCAAACGGTGAGAAGATCACGACGACTGTACGCATCTGGAATGAGACAGTGTCCAACCTGACCCTGATGGCACTGGGTTCATCCGCCCCAGAGATCCTCCTCTCAGTGGTGGAGGTTTGTGGGCACAACTTCAATGCCGGGGAGCTCGGTCCCAACACCATCGTAGGAAGCGCCGCCTTCAACATGTTCGTCATCATCGGGCTGTGTGTGTCTGTCATTCCTGAAGGAGAGACCAGAAAAGTGAAGCACTTGCGCGTGTTCTTCATCACCGCTGCCTGGAGTGTCTTTGCTTACACCTGGCTTTATCTGATCCTGGCTGTCTTTTCTCCAGGAGTTGTGGAAATATGGGAGGGGCTTCTCACGCTCTTCTTCTTCCCACTTTGCGTTGGATTGGCGTACATAGCGGATCGCAGACTTCTTTTCTACAAATACATGTACAAGCGATACAGGGCGGGGAAGCGGAAAGGAGTGATCATCGAAACGGAGGGAGAACCAGAACTTCCCTCAAAGGTTGACATTGAAATGGATGGAAAAATGCTCAACTCTCATGGAGAGGAGTTCACAGATGGAGAGGCAGGATTTGAAGGGAAGGAGCTGGATGAGGAGGAGGCCCGCAGGGAGGTGGCGAGGATCCTGAAGGAGCTGAAACAGAAACATCCGGAGAAGGAGATGGAGCAGCTGATGGAGCTTGCGAATTACCAAGTTTTAACCCAGCAACAGAAGAGTCGAGCTTTCTACCGCTGCCAAGCGACCAGAATCATGACAGGAGCGGGTAACGTCCTGAAGAAGCACGCCGCTGACCAAGCCAAGAGAGCCACCCATGATATCTTCTCTGAGGTGTCGGTGAACGACTTCTCTTCCAAAGTGATCTTCGACCCTGGTACCTACCAGTGTTTGGAGAACTGCGGCACCGTGGCACTGAATGTGGTTCGACGTGGCGGAGACCTGACCAGCATGGTCTCCGTGGATTACCGGACAGAAGACGGCACCGCCAACGCCGGCTCAGATTATCAGTTCACAGAAGGAACAGTTGTGTTCAAACCCGGTGAGACGGAAAAAGAAATCCGCATCGATATTATCGATGATGACATCTTTGAAGAAGACGAGCACTTCCTGGTTCACCTAAGCAATGTCAGAGTCACAGCTGAAGGTTCGAACAGTCACGAGGCAAACCACGTGGACACCCTCGCAGGTCTGGGTTTGCCCTGCACGGCCACCGTTACCATATTTGATGATGACCACGCCGGGATCTTTACGTTCGAGGAGCCAGTGATGACCGTGAGCGAGAGCGTCGGGGTGATGGAGGTCAAGGTGATCCGGACCTCAGGAGCACGCGGTGTTGTGGTAGTGCCCTACAAAACGATACAGGGGACCGCTAAAGGAGGCGGCGAGGACTTTGAGGATACACACGGAGTTCTGGAGTTTGAGAACGATGAGATTTCGTAAGTATGAATCCTCTTTAATGATCTGAGACAACTTTAGCTCCACAGGTGTTATAGTAACAGTATCTTACATGCTAATCGCTTCGCACCCACCAGTGTTTTGGCTCCTCCTCCAGGACTAGAGTTAGGGTTAGAGTTCAGTCATGTTTGGATTAGTTCATGGATCAGCTTTTTAAGGAGCATTGCATTTCTTTGTGACCAAACATTTTCTACTGTCTGTTTGGCATGTGGCTGAAACAAAACCGAACATGTTAAGAGGTTAGCCCTTACACCATCACGTGGCAGGCCTGGCTTCTCTTACATGGTTTCTTATTAATCCTAAAATATAAATGGATTTATGTACGGATCACTCTGAAGATTTCAAACCTTTCCAGATTATTCTAATGAACAGGCATGGGAATTTTTTCATCACCTCTTTAAACTGTACACGACGCAGACAATAGTTTCAGCATCAGAAGCATCACTTCCATCGAGTGTAATCACTCGACACCTGAAGCACCATCAGATGCTGCTGACACTAAACAAGAGTCAGAGAACTCAAATTTGTCATTTAGCCTCTGCTTCCACGTCACACACAGCTGGTCCTGATCTTTAAAGGTGATTAATCCACAACTTTAATGAATGAATCCACAATCCTCATGTAGAATTAAGATGCACACACACACACACACACACACACACACA